TCGCAAAATGATTTTTTATTTTTTGTTTTGGTTTCGGATACCCTTAACCGCGCGGCCCATGAGACGACGACACCTGTCCCCGTGATACCGTCTCAAGGGACTCTCCCCACTGATACGTATCATACCACAATTAAGCCCAAAACCATTTGTTTTATTATTTTAATACCTTTTAAAGTCTTTGATACCCATTACAACTCACCGTTAAAGATGGTCTTAGTATGTTACGTAACATGGAAACAAATATTCAATGATTCATATGATTCTTTATATTGTTCTTAGCAATGGTTCATAATATGTTGTTACCATATGTCTCTGGTTGATTATGGAGTGGTTTTTGCAATGTTTCTCGCAAGTGTGATGTTTAGAGAATATCATGTGTCAGAGTCAGATATTGCAAGGAATGTTGTGTAGTCTTGCTTTGATTATACAATGGTGTATAAATCTCTTTTTGATAAACTATATGCCAAATCATTTCTCACTCAACACATACAATATATACACACACAATATAAGCTACAAATATCTGTGATTCTCTGTTTTAGCGTCAGAAACAGAGACATGCTTTTCCAGGGAGTTTTCCGGTACTACGGATAATCCTGGCTTTCTCTTTCGCCTTCAACTCTTCGCTGTGTCTCTGTTTATCCGCCTGAGCTCTGGCTCCGGCTGAAATGTGTTCAATGTATTCAGTGTCTTCTCTAAATCTCTGCAAACCTCTCCTCCTCCTCTGTTCCATTTCGCTCTGCTGTTCATATAACCAACAATGTTTTCAGTTAAATGATCAAAAGATTAAGATTAAAGAAAAGCCATCATATTATGATATATCAACCTCAGATTTGTCCAGCTTCCTTCGAGCTTTGTCCCTCTTCTTCGCTTCCCACAAATCGATCTTTCTGTTTAACTTCTCATACCTGCTTTGTGTAATACATATGTTTTAAGTGTAATAACAACACTCATGTATAATTGATTTTTGTTTGTGTGTGTGTGTATTGGGAGACTTACCTTGCGTTGATCTTAGCTAGTTCAGCTTTTTCCCAAGCATCAGCCGTGGAATCACCTTTTCGACTAGTATGCACAGAACTCTGCCTTGTGATTTCACTAGGTGGAAGCC